ATAATATTATAAGAAATAGTATAGCAAATTTTTTTATAGTGAAAAAGAAACCCCCTCTTTGTCTTCTACTTGCTAAAACTAATGGACAGTGAGTATTTAGTCAGTATCCTCAGGGAACCACTATGTCTGTGGGCTGAGTTGACGGCAGCAGGAATATGCATCAAGACAAGAGAAGACCGACTTTTAGCACAGGCGAGGTCATGGGAAGGGAGCTCTGGTGGTTTGCGGTTGTTCAGATGCCATCTAGGTGAGTACAACTCATAGGGGCCCCGTGAACAACATATCCAACCCTGTCCTACCCCTTACCATCCTCACCATCTCTGATATACTCAAGCCCACTGCTGCAATCACAGCATCAACCCACTTGGTTGAGGATCTTCCTCTCCTTCACCATCACTCCACCTTCCCAACCATGATGTCCCGCTCCAAAGAATAACATCGCCTGGCAACATTCCCAAAGTATGTGCTTTGGCTTAGTGGTAAGGAATTGCACTGCTGACACTAAGGCACAGTTGTTCAAATCCACCAGCTGCTCCGTGAGAGTAAGATGAGCACTCCTGTGTGACTGACAGCCTCTGAAAACCTACTGGAAGGTCAGCTATTAGTCATTATAAACTCAAGGACACATAAAAACAACAAGGTCATGGAACCAGCCCTAGTGGCAGGATGGTTAAATGCTCAACTGCTTTAAAAAACAAAACAAAACAAACAAAAAAAAAACACGGCAGTTTAAGCCCACTGAGCGGAAGAAAGGTGCGGTATTCTCTTCTGTAAAGATCCTAGCCTAAGAAACCCTATGGGGCAGTGGCTACTTCGTACAATAAGGTCACAATCAGGTGAAATTAATTCAGTGGCACATAATCACAACAACACGCCCCATGCAAGTTTACTTACGTTTTATTAGGAAATAGTATATTGTTGTTGTTGTTTGTTGTTGTTGTTGTTGTTGTTGTTGTTGTCAGGGGGCATCAAGTATGATTGATAGTGACCCAATAAACAACAGATCTGAACACTGTTCCATCTTTACAATCTCTGATACACTCGAGTTCACTGCTGCAGTCACTGTCTCAATCCACTTGGTTGAGGGTCTTCCATCTCCTTTGCCATCCCTCCACCTTCCAAGCATGATGTCCTTCTCCAAGGAACAGATTTTCCTAGCAACATGACAAGGAGCGCTCTGGCTGCAGCTTCTCCAAATATTCTGTTTGTCCTTTTGGTGGTCCACGGCATCTTCAATTCAGGACAGGGTGCTAGCTAACATGAGAAGCTCTAATGGCTTAGTCAGTAGGGGGCAGTGCTGCTCACCTCTTGTCAGTGCAAATCCACCAGCAGCTCTGTGGGAGAAAGATGAGCAATCTCCTCCTTGTGCAATTTACAGCCTCAGAAACTGGCCTGAGGGTCAGCTATGAGTTGGTTCTGACTCTATTGTTGTTGTATCTCATATGTGTCATCGAATCACCTACAACTCATAATAACCCTAAGTACAATAGCTTTGAAGGCTTCTCTGTCCTGAGCCAGTCTCACTGATTCCAACACATCCACACCCATTGCCCCAGTTACTGAATCAATCCATCTCATCCAAGGTCTTCCTCTCCTGTGCTGTCCTTCCACCCTTTCAAGCATGATTTTCTTCTCCAATGACCAGTCCCTCCCGGCCACGTGCCCAAAGTATGTGACATGGAGCTTCAAAATCCTAGCCTCCAAGGAGAAATGTGGTTTTACCCTCTCCAAGATGGACCTATTTGTTTTCTTGGCAGTCCATGGTATGTTCAAGACTCTTGTCCAGCACCACAATTCAAAGGCATATATTCTTCTCTGTCATCCTTAGTCATTGTCCAGCTCTCTGATGCACAGCAAATAACTGCAAAGACCATGACCTAGAACAGGTGCAGCTTTGTCTCTAGACAGGCATTGTAGCTTCTTGGTACTCTAGAAAGGTCCCTGACAGCAGATTTACCTAATGCGATTCATCTTGTGATTTCCCAACTGCTGGTATCAAGAGTATTGATTGTGGAGCCAAGCAAAGTGTATCTGTTAACAACCTCAATCTCTTCTCCATCCATTACGGTGCTTCCAAGTGGCCCTACAGTGAGAATCTTTGTCTTCTTGAAATTGAGCTTTAATCCATATTGAAGACTACAGTCCTTGACCTTCTGCAGCAAGTGCTTCAGATCCACCTCCGTTTCAGCAAGCAAAGTTGTGTCATCTGCATATTATAGATTGTTGATGAGTCTTCCTCCAATCCTGATGCCACATTCTTCCTCCTAAAGCCCAGTCTACCGAACGATCTGTTCTCCATATAGATTCAAAAGGTATGGAGACAGAATGCATCCTTGATGCACTACCTTCCTGATTTTGAACCATGCAGTGTTTCCCTGCTCTGTTCTGAGGACTGCTTCCTGGTCCAAGTATAGGTTTCACATAAGCACAATCAAGTGTTCTGGGATTCACATTCTCCTCAAGGTTAGCCATAATTCATTGTAATCTACACAGTCAAATGGTTTTGCATAGTCAATGAAACACAGATAGATATTCCTCTGGTACTCTCTGCTTTCTGCCAAGATCTATATGACATTGGCAATAATGTCTCTAGTGCCACAGCCTCCTCTAAACCAAGCTTGTATTTCTGGTAATTCTCTGTCAATGTACTGTTCCAGTTGTTTCAGAATAATCTTCAGTAGGATTTTGCTTGCATGTGATGTGAGTGATATTGAGTGATAATTTTCATACTCTGTCAGGTCACCTTCTTTTGGAATGGGAATAAATATGGATCTCTTCCAGTCAGTTGGTCAGGGAGCTGTCCTCCAGATTTCTTGGTACAACCTGGCAAGCACGTCTAGCGTAGCATCTGTTTGTTGAAATACGTCAAGACGTTTTGAGGTTTTTTTAATATGATTCCTTCAGTTTCATCTTTATTGATTCAAGTATATCTATTACCACTACCCTTTGCCCCAGTCCACTTTTAATTTAACTCATAGTCATGAGTCCAGTCATAGTATTAAATTTCCCTGGAAGAATCAGTCTACAAAACCCCCACGAAAGAGAAGACAGCAGTAAATTTCACATTGCAATCAACCACGACCCCAAAACCCTGGAGACTACTGATTCCTCTAAAAGAGAAGATATTTTCCCCACACTATTATATTATGGTTCCTATTAGCTACAACAAATGACGGTAAAACATGCCTGACCAGCAGAAGGCCATGTTGTCGTTGTGTACTGTTGAGTCAGAAACTACCCACAGCTGATC